TGATTGGAAACCAAAAAAGAAAGAATTTATTATGTAACAAGAAATTAGATTATGCTACTCCAAATCGTATGAAGAAATGAAAGAAGGATAAAAAGGCCAATAAAAAGATACCATTAAATTGAAGTAAAAATGCGCACTTCTATTATTTTTATAGCATTTCCATTGCCTTCTCATAAAGAAACATGACGATGTAGTCCAGAAGTTTGGCTTTGTAAAATACTATAAATGACTTTACACGAAGTTGTGTTGGCACCATGAAGAGAAATACCGCATTCAGAGAAATGTTTGGATTTGTCTTCACAAAATGTTTCATAGTGTGACAAGCCTCTCAAGAATTTTTTCCTGGTTTTGCAGGATTCTTCATATGTGAATAAATGGTTGGGATCTAACATATTTTAGATAGTTGGTAAAAATATGATAAGGCGAAGGGGAAGGCAAGGGAAGGCAAGGTAAAATTTACGTATGAAGAGCTGCGAACGCTGAAATAGAGCTCAGAACTCTTCTTATTCACAGTTTAATGTGAATTAAAAGAATGGAGCTTTCTTAAATACAAGAACAAACAAAAACCAAGACAGAAATATTAGGAAATGTAGCAGAGGGTATTGATTTTTGATTGATGAGGCGTCTCTTCGGTGCTATTTGTTGATCTCCAATAATCTATGCTTGATCTGCAGATCAAAACGCGCTGTATCCAAAATGGCAATGTAAATATTTGCATCTTTATAAAATTTTAGCGATAATTCTTTGAGAAAACGAGCCAGTCCGAAAACAAAAACCCATTACCAATTTTCTCAGCAAAAGATGACTTGACATCGTCTATTTTCCTCCTTTTCGTCAATGCAAAATTATCCAGATCTAGAACTAATAATTATAATATATAAGTAAATTATAAGAAGCCTTTTACTGCAAAAAAAGGATAAGCAAGCCAGACCGTTAGCAACGACCAAATTAGAACTCGGGTGTAACTCTTTAAATTTAAATGGCCGTTGTAAAATTAGTTGAGAATAGGATTTTCTACTGCTCATATTTCCCAAATTAAATAATCCTACCCTCTGTAGTTGTTCATTCATTCTTTACCTTCATTTTGCTTCTACTCAAAAGCTGCATGGGATAAAATCTGAATCAGAAAACTCAGTTTCGCGACGCCTCACAGATGAACAACACCAGCTTACGCTAAGCAACAAATGGCGATGAACAGTTTAGTCAATCTTTGGATATGTTTCATACAGTCTTCCATAAAAGGTCGTTTGTTTGAAAAAATTGTTCTTAAATGGCATTTTTTGGGCTATGTTCTTTTTTATTGAACTCATTAATCTTACCAAATTTACAATTTTCCAATTTAAATTCGAGTGTAAAGCTTAACAACTTCTGCATGTTATCTAATTTTTCAGATGATCGCTTACAATTCCGTCCAAATCAGTTTCATGCTTCTCATCATTTCTGGAGCAGCCTTCAGCCATTATCCAACT